CCTCCCCCCCTCCCCCCCCCGCATCCCCTCCGATGATAAGCGGGGGGAACGGCCGGTAGGGGGCCCTTCATTTACACATCCCAGCGGGAGAGATCCTTCTATTAACTTATTACTCGCAGGGGGAGCTCGAGTCACGTCGACGGTTTCATCAGAGGGGTTTCTTCCACGACCCCTCCCTCCAGAATTCATTCCATTACGGGCTTGATTTTTTTTTCTCGGGCTGAAATGGATCGCCTGCTTCGTCTGGAATTCGCTCGGAACTTGTTCCAGGGGTCTAGATCAATCTTGTGGAGTTTTTTAAAACTTTTTTTTGTTTATTTTTTTTTGCCGATAAAATTTAAAATAAAAAATTTCGTTATTGCGGAAACTGCAGCGAGGCGAAGTACTGTGAAGTACTGCGAAGCTGATCAAATCGGGATGTAATCCGTTGTCGCTCTTTGTGACCGGCGCCCATTGTGTACGTTTTATTTCCTTGGGTTTAACAAGCCTTATCTTTTGCACGCCATTTTTTTTTCCTGGGGAACGACTTCCTGTGAATGAATTCGTCGGTTGACGCCTGGAAGCATGTCCACGGCGATTCGACACGCATGCGATAGGGACGGTAAAGGGCTTACAGTAAAGGATCCACGGTAAAGGACTCATAATAAAGGACGCATGGTAAAGGACCCACGGCGACGGATCTACGATAAAGGACACATGGTAAAGGACCCATCCGTTTTGCAGCCGGATCTCGACTGTCGACGCCCCGTCCGCCCAGTCACCGAGGTGGGAACGGGGGTGGAGGCGGAGGGAGGAAGCGGGCCTTGTCTTCGTCCCCGTACTCGGATTCCCTCGACCTCAATGCCATGATCCGATTCTCGCCTAATTCCCTCGTCTCCTTCATGAATGGCTCCCGGTCGTCTTCCGGCTCGGGGTCTTATGGACATCTCTCGGGTGAGTCGAGGGCGGTTCCCTTTCTCCGATTCCGTCTCGGCGCCGCTCGAAGGAGCGGTGGAAGCCGGAAGTTCCAGGGTTCCCTGTTACGGGGTTCCCTGATGTGGGAAGTCGAGATGCGTGATTTTGGTGGCAAGAAGACGGTAGCTAAAGCTATGCTTAAAAGTTGAAAAAAAAAAATTCAGTTAGGTCCTCGGTTCAATTGTCGACTGGGTTTCTGCTCCCTGAAGGTTGTCGCACCCAAAAGTTGCCGGTATGGCAATATGTCGACATTTGAATGTAAGACCTGAAAATAGCTCTGAATTGCTGGCATTCGCCACCTCCATGTCCGTATTGCCAACGACAATTGCGGGGAAAGAAAGGTTGCCAAGTATGAAGTGTCTTTAACGCGAGCCGTCACCATTGCCACCACTGCATCGCAGCATCTTGATGTGCATATCTTATGGAGCAGTACGATGAAAAAATGACCCAGTACAGTCTCAGCTTCCAAAATATGGAATATTAAAAACATGAAAATCGATGCAATTCGACAACGTTAAGATTCTGGGAAACCTAATCGCCAAAATCGAGTCGAGCAAAAAAAATCGAAAAAGTGCACGAGAAATGAATTTGCACATATTCCGACAGGGCACCTGAGTCCGGCGTACGGGATCCCTCCCGGCGTGGGAATGGGAAGCATCAGCCACCTCCAGCAGCTGCACCAGCTGATGAGGACGGGGAGCCTGCCTGGCTCCCCCCACGCGTTCCTGTCCCACGCCCACCCGCTCCTGGCGCCCCACTCCCCGGCGCTCTCCCAGCCGAGCCTCTTCCTCGCCCCCACCCACATGCCCTGCTCCCCGCAACTCAAGGCGGAGGTAAGTCGCCCCAGGCGTGCTAAGTGATCGACGTCGGCCGGTCGGCTCGTCGGCCGGTCGGCCATTTCACCGGTGGAATTCGCATTTCCCTTTTTAGCATGCGGAGTCTTTCAAAACTTCCTTCGACGCAAAAGTAGCTTCTTCTTCCCCTTCTTTGGGGCCAAAACAAAGGGTGGTCGTTAGTCATTCGGCCGCAAAGGAACGTCCGGGCAACTCGGTTTTCCTAAACTTAATTATGGGGTCTTATTTCGTAACTGCAAACACTCAACAAGCCGCTATGTAACTCATCTCCCATTATCCAGCAGACACATATTGCCATTCGCCCCCATCAGTCAATATCAGATGACGTAAGAATCCATGACTTAAGCACTCACAAGATTCCACGACTTAAGAATCCATGACTTAAGCACTCACAAGATTCCACGACTTAAGAATCCATGACTTAAGCACTCACAAGATTCCACGACTTAAGAATCCATGACTTCAGCACTCACGGCTCATCGCTCGCAATCCGTTCGATCCCGAAGGTGGAGCCGATGAAAGAGTCGCCCTCGATGGTGACATCGACCGTGGACTCGGACGACGCGACGAAGACCTCCTCCAAGGTGAAGAAGGAGGCGACGAGCACGACGTCCATGACCGACTCCGGCGGGGGGTCGCCGGGCGCCGGCGACAAGGACACGGAGGAGCCCGGCGACTTCGTCGAGACCAATTGCCACTGGAAGGAATGCTCCAGGGAGTTCCCAACCCAGGACGACCTCGTCAAGGTATAATTACTCTTGAAATTCGCTTAAATTTAATTAATTAAATGTAAACGCTCGAATTTTCCAAATTAAATGCTCGTAAGAGCCCCCCTAATTAAAGCAAGCTAAAACATTGTTTCACTTTCCGGGCCAAGGCTCAGGGCTCGAGTCTCAGCAGGTCGCATTCCTCAAGTCGAAACAAAGGAGTTTTGCAGCGTCATTTTCTCGAATGATACCTCGACTGCCCAGAAACGACAATAAATAATTTGTTGTTGTTGTTGTCGTTCCTTGCAGCATATCAACAACGACCACATCCACGCGAACAAGAAGTCCTTCGTCTGCCGTTGGCGGGACTGCTCCAGGGAGGAGAAGCCCTTCAAGGCCCAGTACATGCTGGTCGTGCACATGAGGAGGCACACGGGGGAGAAGCCTCACAAGTGCACGGTGAGTCCCCTTCCAGGCCCCTCTCAGGCCCCTCTCAGGCCCCTCCATATGGCCCTTCCGAGTGTATTGTCCCGGGGCAGTGCATAATTAATGGAATGCCGGGGAGTCCTGTTTCAATTACTGTTGTGCTGCGTAGTTCCGGGGAAGTACTGGGGGAGTACCGGGGAAGTACCGGGGGCTTTTGTACTCGGCCTCGTCCCGAGTCGATACGTCTGGCTGTGTCGATAACGTCGAGAATCCATAATACGATGGGCGCTTCCTGTGCGTTTCAAAACAAGAGGGAACGATTTTCAACGCCGTCACGTTCGCATGAAGTTCGTGTAATGGGTTCCGCGATCGATTGCCGACATCGGTATGGTGATGCTCGACATCGGCGAGGCCGTGCTTAACATCGGCGAGGCCGTGCTTAACAATCGGCGAGGCCGTTCGGCTTGATGCGTAGTTCGAATCAGTCGAGTTCTAACTTCGTCGGCGAAACTTATTTGCGTTGTGCATGAGTTTCCCCCTCCCCCCATTTTTTTTTCAACGGGATCGAGTTCGGCCAACGAATACGAGAGTCGTAGGCGGTGGAAAAGCGGGATTGGCCCTGCCAAAAGTCAACAGGAGACCCTGTTTACCTGGAAGGCCTCGTCCAATGAGAGAGGGAAAAAGGCGCAACACGGAAATGTTTGCTTTGGCAGGGTCCAATCCCGGATTTGGTTCGAGGGGCAGGTGCGAGGAGGGACCTTCCCCGTGTCGACAGGTCCCTTTGACAGGTCCCTCCTCGCCTCGCCAGGTGGAATCGGGGACATCCACGTGGAATCGGGGACACCCTCTGCAAGCAAAATAGTGCACAGGCAACTTTTTTTTCCGTCGCATCTTCGCGCATTGTGAATCGGTGCACGTCTCGACTCGATCAGGTGGCCCCCACCCCCGCTCCCTCGCCCCGCCCCCGCCCCGATGAAAATTTCATGAAATTGAGACGAAGAATCAGATACCATCGCTGTCACCTGAGCCACCGCCACGAACCCCAGTTTCCTAATTTTTTTTTTCCCTGGTCGAGAAAAACCAGAAACGGAGTCGACGAGGCATTACGGGATTCCAATGGGGAGAGGGGGGGGGGGGGGGGAATTTCCCCCCCCCCCCCCCGGCCCCCCCCCCCCCCCATCTACCCCTTTTTCGAAGGCGCTCGGTCAGGTGTGCCCCTTCCCTCGTGGCGATCAATTATCCCCAGACAAAAGCGGTGAAGTCGGTCCTCTCTTCCGCTCCCTCGCCCTTCGACAAGGCTCCAGACGTTAAATTTCCATTCCGGAATCGCAAAAACTCCATCCTAAAAATTTATATTCAGGCAAAGAAAACGTTTAAATCGCTACACTACGCAAACACATCGACGTATTGGCGTATATGGCAATTGGCAATTAACTTCGAGCGCGGAAAAAAAAATTTTGAGGTCATAATCACGCGTGATCACCGACTCACGGAACTCGGCACCCGCTTCTAGCGGGTGCCGAGTTCCGTGCCGTTCCATCGCAGCGATCTGGAACGACCTGCAATTCGAGTGTTACTACCCTTTTATGCCTGTCATGCTAATGATTACGCGTAAATGAAGCACCGACACTCGGGAAGCATTAATCACCGTCGGATAGAACGGCGGAGACTTCAATTTTCCCTGGCAGGAGGGAGGAGTGGCCCCGTTTTTCCACCGCATCCCCCCCGGGGCCCTCGAGGGCCTTCGAGGGCCTCGAGAGCCTCAAATAGAGACGGAGGGATGTAAATGCACTCCGTGAGCTCGGGATTCTTCCATCCCGAAACTAAAGAGACACGGGCGGATGTCGAAATGGAGACAGAATAGAGATGACATAGAGATGAACTAGAGATGGGATAGAGATGAACTAGAGATGGGATAGAGATGAAATAGAGATGGGATAGAGATGAAATAGAGATGGGATACACTGGAAGGGGATGGTGGTCGTACACTTGTCGGAGGGAGCCTTTTAACCCCTGCCGCGAGTGATCGCCCATTCCGCGCATGTAATGAACCCCGGGTCTTAAGCGAGCGCGTGAGGGGAATGCGGGATGAGGGCGTGGAGGACGTGGAGGACGTTTCTATCCTCCTCCTCCTCCTCCTCGGTCATTATCCAGTTGTCTTCTACACCTGCTTATTGTCTTCATCACGGGACGGAACGAGTCCATTCCCTTGCGGGCGACGTTGATGGAACGAATTTGATGGACTGCGCCGCACTCTCTTAGCTTTTAATGAATTAGGGGGTGGAGGGGGGGGAGGGAGGGGGGATGGGGGGGCTTCAAAAGCTTCTGGCCCTCTGGTTAAATCTGTAGAAAATACGTGCAACTACAAGAAGTGGGAGGAAACGTTGACGACGACCATTTGTTACTCGCGATGAAGAGAGAATGAGGCGGGGCACCTGACAACAAACTCGATCGCCGCCTGATCTATGCGATCGCCACTTGATCTATGCGATCGCCACCTGATCTATGCGATCGCCGCCTGATTATGCGCTCCGACCGATCGCCATCGAAATTCCCGGGCAGGGGGAACCCGTATCAATAGGGTTATCTGGCGCACGTGGGGGCGCGACGGGCGGAAACGCCGATCGCGCGGAAATGCCGATCGCGCCCCCCGATCGCCCCCGCCGACGATCAACAATGCCCCGGTGTCCTCAAACTACGTTGATTTACGAGCCGATGCACGGGGGAGGAATGCCTCTCGGGATGTGGATCGGGTCAGGGGACGCGACCGTCTACGCGAGCATCGAAAGATGTGAGCATCTTTCGATGCTTCGCCGGAATGTGGAGGCTCCTTCGACGCGATTCATCCCGCGGTGCGATTCTCGACTTAATTGAGGCATCTCGAGAATCCCGGGAATGCCGTCAAGGCCGGGTCCCGTAGGCACATTCGCCTCGTAATGGCCCCTCATTCCTTCGGGATCGTTACCATCGGGATCGTTACCATTCTCTTTCGGGGGGCGACCGTTCTCATCGGGAATCCCAATCCCTGATTTTGCAGTTCGAGGGATGCTACAAGGCGTATTCCCGGCTGGAGAACCTGAAGACCCACCTCCGGTCCCACACGGGCGAGAAGCCGTACATGTGCGAGTTCCCCGGCTGCACCAAGGCCTTCAGCAACGCCTCCGACAGGGCCAAGCACCAGAACCGGACTCACTCCAACGAGGTAAGGCGAAATTGGCGAAATTGGCGAATGCGTCGCGTGAATTCCTAAAAAAAATGCTCCGCTTGGAGGTGTGGAAGAGGGAAGTCCTTGAGCGAGCGCTGTAATGTGATGCATTCTAAGCATCTCCGAGGTGCTTGGAACCGCAGGCACTTCACTGCGTTTCCCTTTCACTCTGGAAAGGGGAATGCATTGAAATTCATGAGATTCGCACATTTCTGACCGACTGAGTCAGCATCCGAAAATTTACCTTTTTTTTTATATACTTAATTGCACTGAGAAAAGAAAACGCAGGTACGGTAGTTGTCAATTATCGTTTCATTAATTACTGTAATTATCTCTTAAGCTGAGAAAAATGCGAGCAGGATTCCCAACTCACCATTTACTCCAGCGCAAACTTCAACAGATCTTGCAAATTTCTGCGGTTGTTCCCGGTCCTGCACGACGCAAAAAAATCCGGAAAAAAAAATCCCGCCGGAGGCTCTGCACTTCTCACGCCGAGATAAAGACTAATAAGGACTAATAAATAATTTAAGAAAAAAAAAAACGTGCTGAGTGGCACTGAATTTTAATCGGGGCGAGGCGAGAAGTGAGGCCCGGCGTCAACGGGGAAAAAAAAAAAAACGTGCAGCACCTTATCAGATCCGGTTAAAACACTCGGTTAAAACACTCGGTTAAAACACTCTTCGCTCTCAGCCATAAATCCGCGCAGTCGCCGCCTTTATAATGCTGCAAGTACTTACAAACGCTTCATCGAGTATTCAATTGCACCTGGAAGCAGCAATTGAATTGCACCTCAAATTACACCTTCCGCGCGCAATTAAAATTTCAAGCGATATAAAAAATTAAATCATCGGACTAAATTTACAACCGAATTACCTTTCGATTAAATTTTGAATTTTAAATGAAATTTTCACCTTCAGAAACCGTACGTGTGCAAGGCCCCCGGCTGCACGAAGCGCTACACGGACCCGAGCAGCCTCCGGAAGCACGTGAAGACCGTGCACGGAGCGGACTTCTACGCGAGCAAGAAGCACAAGGGGAACGACCACCCCGGCTACAACGGCGGGGCGGGGACCCCCCGCCCCGGGGAGCTGGGGGAGAAGGGACCCGAGCCCAGCCCCGCGCTATCGGACCTCAAGCCCACCAGCATCTCAAGTCCCAGCATGAAGTCGGAGGTAGGAATTTCCGCTGTTTCTGGGCTGTTTCGAATCGGCTGTTTCGAGTAACGTTTTCTTGGAGCTTTAACGACGGAGGAAAAAGAATCGTCTGTTGATCGATTCGATGAGCTTAGGAGCTGGCATGTGGTCGGCATGAGCACAGCTGGATCTCGAATTCCGCGGTTGTGGGGAACGAACAAAAAACGGTTAAATTAAAACGCGGAATCCGGTAGGCCCGTTGCCACGAGCCCGAGCTGAAAATAATTCCTCGAGCGCGTGAATTGACTCGACGATCGACCCTCGCAGGAGGCGACCTCCCCCGGCACCCAAGGGAGCCCTGGCCTGGACTTCGGAGGCGGCGTCGGCGGCGACATCGGGAGCGACTCGGCCCAGCCCATCAGCGACAACCTCGTCTCCACCACCGACGGACTCGGCGACGAATGGGACCTCCCGGAGCCAAACGACATCGAGGTTCGCGCCTTTCCTCCCTTCGACCGTCCCCCGAATCTCTCGCAACCGTTTCCCGCACAGGTGTTTGAACCCGCACAGGTGCCCGAGTTCGCCGCGGTCACGTCGACTGCGATGGTTTCCTGCGGAGGGGACGAAGTCAACTCCAACCTGGTCGACCTCAACGCCCGGAATCGCTTCAAGTCCCGACTCCAGACCAAAGCCTGCATGCCGCCTGTTCCTTCCGGCGGAGGTCAGCCGACTTTTTATATATATTTTATACCATTTTACCACCAGGTTCATGCACGAGAGTAATCGTAACGAAGCGGGTATCGATGGTCAATTTAGCAGTTAAACCGAACATCTCTCGATAGCGTTAGACCGAGACCCAACTCCACTTTCCTGCACCAAAAATGCCTGAATCTGAAATTAAACCCATTCATGCCATTCCAAGCGATCAGAGAAGGACTGGAAAAAAAAAAACAGGCAAAAAACTAAGAAAGACCTCATCCCCCCAGGAATGAACCGCCGCATGGGCGTGATGGGCGACCTGAACCGCCGCATCACCGACCTCCGCATGGGCCCCGCGAACCCCGCCCAGCAGCGCAAGTCCTTCCCCTCGGATCTCAGCCGGACCCAGACCCTCCTCCAGGTGAGTCCCGGGCGGGTGTGGATGCGAGCCGAATGCGAGCCGAATGCGAGTGGGATGCACTCACGCTCTCGTCTCCTTAGGGTACGAACCGGAGGGACAGCGGGAACTCGACGGTGAGCTCTTGCTACGGCAGCATGCGGTCGTCTGGGGCTTCGCAGCTGTCGAGCAGGCGGAACAGTGACGGCTCCATGGTGAGTTCGTCTGCATGCATCAGATATTAGGGCTCGACGATCGAAAACAAAATACTTGGTATTCAAATTAAATCTCCACGGAAAATGCTGATGTGTTTCGTGTGAAGGACGATTCACCTCGTCTAGAAATACTTTTTTCTTCTTCAAAACTTATACTGCATCGTTGCAGGCTCATCTCGGCTTGAAGCCCAAAATGACTAATTCCTCTTAAAAAAAATGTCATTCCAGGCATCGGGCCACGCGATGGGCAGCGGCGTCCAAGGCATGAGCATGATGGGGACCACGATGGGTATGACCGGTCAGGGGATGACCCCGAGCCAACGGTCCTACATGACGGCCTCGCCCTACGACCCCATCAGCCCCGGGAGCTCGCGACGGAGCAGCGTCGCGACCCAGTCCTCCGTCTCGGGGAGGAAGTCTGTCACGCCCTTTGGGAACATGCAGTGTCAGGTGGGTGGGTTGCCGATGTCGGGGGGGGGGTTTGCTGGTCGGGGTAACCGGCAAGAGGAATCCGCTTTATGATTCGTCGTCGCCAGTGGTTCCTTCTCGTCTGTTCTCGAAAATGTCACTGCTTTTTTTCATTTGTCGATTTCTTTAATTACGGCTTCCATATTGAGTATTAGATCGCGTGCATCAATGAAGAGTATTCATGAAGGTTGAGCGACTTGATTAGAATATCTTCATCAACGGCAAGACCAGAAAATCTTAAGACCTGAAACTTCCTGAATTGGGAACTGCCAGCGACGTGTTATTTACTTTTTTTTTTTAAATATAGCTGATCTGAAGTTGCCATATCTCTTTCACTGTTCCACACAGTCTGAAGTGGTGAATTTTTCAGTCCAAAGGGTTTATATTGCACTTCTGACAGTGCAAACCTCCCACTCGGTGGACACGAGCAGCTCGTGAACAGCTCACAGGCTGCTTGTCGCCATCGCCGCGTTGGAGATTTGAGTCGTCGAGTTCTGGAGTGCCTTGGACTGAGAAATCTGCCGCTTAGGCAGAGTCGAACTAGATAGAGAATATTTTAGTTATTTGAAAAACAATATTAGTTTTAGTAAACAGCTGTGCATGCAATATTGGCCGGCAGCTGACACAGAAATTTAGAATGTACCTAATATTTAGGGAGTTTGGGTTCACTATTAAGTAGAGTATTTGTTTTGGTATATACTCAACAGAGAGAAGCCGATGACTGTTCACTCCTTCCCTTTAACATTTCCCACAATACTAAAAATGGACAACCTCAAAGTTTGACTAAAGTCATTATTAAAGGAAATCTGAACTTAAAAATGTTTTCTCTCTCATTGCAGGGTCAGGTGATGGGAATGGGAATGGGGATGGGCGTGGGCGTGGGCGTGGGGATGATGGGGCAGGGACAGGGACAGGGCCAGGGACAGGTGATGACCCGGCGGGCTTCCGACCCCGTGAGGACGCTCGATCGAAACTTTGGGGTTCCCCAGCAGGCGCCCACTCTCACTCGGCATAACAGCTACTCCAGCTTCGGCAACGTCATGCCCGGGTTCCGAAAAGATGATACCTCGATGGCGAACTCCTATCTCTGTCAGGTGAGGGCAGTTTCGACGAAGGCTAGCACGAAGCTGGCGTGCACGTGAAACCGAGTGATATTCATTGTGCACTTGCAAAGCAGCACTGTATTGTGTCACTCGGTATACACGGATTTCATGTACCATATAAAGGATGAACTTATAAAAACGGTAAATTTTCCTCTTTAGGAGCAGAAACGCCCAGCATCACAGGCCATGGCATTCTCCCCTGCCACCCCAGCGATGCCCGCCAGCCCTGGTTACTCGCATCAATCCATGCCTAGTCCCTACCTGAACACAAACGTCCCCGCCAGCCCCTACAACGCCAGCAACGGCAACACCCAACCTTCCCCGTACAACAACCCCCAACCCTCCCCGTACAGCAACCCCCAACCGTCTCCCTACGCGAATGCACCCAGCCCCTACCCGCCTCAGCCGTTCAACCCGGTCTATCCGTACAGCCCTACTGCAGCGGCGACTGCGCCCCAGTCCGTTCCTCCCTCCCCGTATCCTGCCAATCAGACGCAGCAGTCCTTCACCAGTCAACAGCAGCAACAACAACAGCAGCAACAGCAGTTTACCAACACGCAGTACAACCAACAGCAGAGCAACGGAATGCAGTACAACGTCATGACTCAACAGCAAGTGCCAATGATGGGACCCGAATCGACGGTGATCATGAACCCCAGCGGCACCATGATGGTACCGAACACCGGCATGCCCCTCAACAACGGCACTCCGGTCCCACCCACCAACCCCAGTCAAAACTGGGCGTCTCAGCAATCCTACTCCGTCTTCGCCTGCGGCCACCCGGGAGCGAACGGCCTGCGCTACCAAGCCTACCAACAGCCCTGCCCCGACTGCCAGAAGAAGACCATGACCCAGCGCCCCAACGGCTTCATGATGCACCAGGCCTACCCCAACGTGAACCTCCCCGACCAAGACGCGACCGTCGTCCAACAGCAACTCTGCTACCCCCAGCAGCAGATGAACTGGACCGCCGCCCAGCCGATGGGCGGCAACGGCTACCCTCAGCAGGCGTCTTCGATGCCCCCTCCCCAGCAGTGCCCCGGCACCAACGCCAAGTTACCGATGCGATCGGACGCGTATCAACGGACTCTGGAATACGTGCAGCAGTGCCAAACGTGGCGACAGCAGGGAACGGAAAACGGGGAGGCCCAGGCCCAGTTGATGGCAACTGGCCCGGTGGACCACAACTCGTCGATGAACATGCAACTGGTCGACGAGAACAAGTGCCTGCCCGTCATGCAGTGAAATCAGCGACGCCAATATTGTGATAAAAAAAATCGGCCTGGAAGAGAGTGCCTTTTCCATAAAAATAAGATGCCTTGCTAATGAAGATAATTATCGGTTTTTACGTTGCCCGAGGCAGAGAAAAATGCCTCAGGTGGGCATTCATATGTTTGGATCTCATCTTTCTCCTACCTTTTTTTCCCCTTTTTTTTGCGACTTGAAAAAAAAAAGCATTTGTGCAGATGCTTGAGGGAGTCTCACTAGCTCAAATTGCATTTGTTTGTACCCTGTTATCTGTGATGCGTTTCTCCTGCAACCAACCAAGTGGCCTTTAAAGACCTTCACCCCCCACCCAAGGATGGAATGTTCACAGGGTTTCTCGAATCACCCAGTTGCTCTAAATGTCGTCCAGTTGCTCTAATTGTCGCCCAATTTCTACAGCCTACGAATCACAGAAAGTTCCTCATCCCTCGTGTGAATTTGCAATCGACTTTATTCTGCAATGTGATATGTTTAGAGATCTGTGGGGCACTTCCTCTTCCCAAGTGACTATTTATTCGAATTTTCCCCTCCGTGTCGATTTCATTCATGGTTTTCTCCTTGTTTTCTAAGTGAATCTGCCTCATCCTGCATTGTACAATGATGTTGGACAGAAATTCCAGGATTAAAACGATCCCTTTCCTCCTGCATGGTTGAACTCGATTGTTCGCAGCGATGTAGCAACGTGGAAAACCATTTCACAGGTTTCCACTTCGACAGGACCATTTCGCCATTTCTTCTCATCGGCGAGTATGCAAACTTTCGGCACACGGATTTAGCCTGAACCACACGGGAAGGGGAGAATACAACCATTTTCTATGCCAACCGTTTGTTACCATGACCGAACATCTTCCTCGAATCGGAGGAACGCGAAAAACATTAGGAGGGAGTAAAAAGGCGACATCGCTCGCAGGACTTCGGCCTTCTCAAAGACGGAATGACCCAGAAAATGACCCCATCGGGGCACGCCCAACTGGACCGTCTTAAGCCGTAAGAGTTAAGTAACCCTTAACCCCATCGGAACCCTTTCTCTTCGCCTAACTTAAATCCCTAAATTCTCGACCTCGACGGCTTCTCAACTAGCGCAAGTACTAAGTGCGACGATATTCGTACTTCAGCTGGGAGTAGACCTGGAGTCCAGGTCAACAATAGACTCGTGGCTTCGAGTCACGACGATGAAATTCGCACGGGAAGAAACAACATTAACACCAGCATTTTCTGTCCATGAGACTTCAGAAGAGCACCCGGAACGAATTTCGCATATTTACCAATTTATCTACGAGCCGCTCATAGCTAGAGCGCGGTGGATGGAATTCCCTATTTGACTACGATTTCGACAGTGTGCGCAGGGTACGTGCAGGGCAGGTAATATTAGTTCTGGTTTGTTTTATTTATTTTTTTTTTGAAACGATGAAAAGAATGCGGGTTTCTTTGTCGTATATGGGAAAGCCAACGAAAAGGAAAACCAGGCTCCCCCATACACTTCACGTATCCCCATACACTTCATGCAGAGTCATCGAGACCCCAGCCGGTGCGACACGTTGTTCTCGCACAAAACTAGAGAAGGACGCACTTTCGAACTGTCATAACGCCAGGCTGTGCCGTACTAATTTTAGAATGAAGCCCCCGAAGAAGCATAACGTCACCGGCAAATATATTTTTCGCATGAGAACCTCAGACCACACGATACCCACAGATGCCACCCGCATGAACGAGACCGCGAAAATAAACCTCCTCGCCAATCAGGAACAGGGCCCAGAAATAAAAAAAAAACAACGGCTACAGCCCGAGGGCGAAGAGCGCCTTCGCGGTGAAAACTTGCTGAGCTATCCGATTTTCTTCCCCAAACGCAGTTCTCTTTCGTCTTTGGGAAGTGACGGTGTCAGTGAATCTGGTGACTTCACTGTTACACCAAGCAATAGTTCATATTCAGTTCCCGTTTTTAAACAAAGTGGTGAGTCGTTTCTCGTTTGTTCCGTGCACGTGGCATACTGCTGGCTGAATCGTGAATACTATTTCTTTTTTAACCGTGGAAAGAAGTGGAATCGCTCGGGGCCATTTCAGGGTGCAGGGTTGTCGGATGAAAGCTGCAAAATTTAACACAGGTGAACTGTGACATTGGCTTTACGCAATTGCTTGGCCCAGAAACGTACGCAATATTTTTTTTTAATGGCTTGTTTTCTGCCGAGTCACACAATAATGAATAAAATAAAGTAAAACGTAGTTCATAACATGCATGGCGACTTGACCAAAAACTATCTGAAAAATATATCCAGACGTTTAGTATTCCATTAAAAAAAAATTATAAAACCGAAAATATAAGCATGAAATGCTGCGACACAATCAGATTCTGGATCAGGCACATTCCAATCTTCACCCACGGCCAGAAAGGCATTCGGCGAAATCGTCGCGTATCGAAAGTCGTTGGAACGATCACGAGGATTTCCTCGGCTGAGGATGATCCATTCCGAAATAAACAACGCTTCAGCTGATACGTAGCGAATTCGGTAACCGCCGGCTTAACCACCGGTCGGCAGGGTTGCCAGGGAACGTAGGCGTCCGTCCCACGCAAGGTTGCCGCAGGAAGATCGCACGTAGATGAGTATGCGCAATAGCCACATTACACGTGGCCGAAGGTCGATGATTGCCGTGACTGGGAGAAAAAGCTCTTAATGACATTTCGTGGGACCGGTTAATTGCAGGCGTTGATGATGAAGCAAATAACTGCAGCTAACTCGGATGTTCGTCCGCGCGATCGCCAGTTTTCCGCCGAGCATATTTCGAGCACACTTGAAAAAAAGAACCTTTTACTTTAAATACCAAGATGAATTTGATGGAGTTGTTTGTGGAGTTTCGCTGTTTTTCCCCAACTTCTCGCAGCATTGGACCTCGTTGCCCCAAGCAGGAAAAAGCTTATACGCTTCTGGCGACGAGGAATGATGGCGTGTTTCGTTTCAGTTTCGCGTATATGATGAAAAATGCCATCAAACGATATATTTTTCATTGGGTTTCGACGAGGAAAGTAGCACTTTCTACAATAGTACTCTTGGACTAGTGCAATAGCTCGATGGACTCGGTGAAATCGAATCATTATTTTTACGGCAGAAGCGAACATTTAAAATGTAAAATTTCAATAAATAGCTAAACTGTCGTGACTTTTGTCGCAAGACGAATAACGTGTCGACTTCGCAGCTGCGTTACATTCACAAAATAAATTTGAGAAATTCCGGGAATGTTCACTTAGATCGTGCCTATCGACATCCAGCCGTGAACCTTTTGTCGAAAATCCATCGCGCTAGATAACATTCCAGGGGAAGTCCATCATCAGCAGAGAGTTTTGATCGCCCGTTTTTCAGAAGGACGGAGACGCGAACGTATTACCAGGCGTTCAAGTTCGAGATTTTCGAATGGCGCTTTGACTACACAGCGATACACAGCCAGGGTACGGTCTGGTAAACTCACAAATCCCCAGATATCCATTCACCCCTCGTTTCGATCTACTGCAACAAAACGTTCTTTCCTTACGAAGTGGTTTCACTATAGGAATGAATGCCTCAGTCTTCCCAAAGGACTAACGTTCTCGATTCCTCTGTCGGATATAAGTCCAACATAGTCGCACGTAGACGTTGCAACCCATCGACTGCGACCAGAGATCCTCTGTCCCATTCTCCCGTCATTCACTATCCCCAACAGCATATCATGCTAATTCCTAATTACGCCTCTGTCCGTCTCTCATGGTAAAGTAACCGAAGTTCGTGTCCGAATTCATCCAACTTCTCTGATGGCGAAGAGGACACGTCAGTTGCTGTCCTCCAAGATACAGTCGAATCCGGTTAATTGGACCACCGGTTAATCGGACCAGCCGCTTATTCGGACCGAATCCTAAAGAACCGAAACAAATCCTATTGCATAGGGCATGTTCGTGTAATCGGACCAGCCGGTTATTAGGACCAAAATGATCGCGTCCCGATGTGGTCCGATTAACCGGAATCGACTGTATTACTTCTGGCTCACCGCATACTTGTATAGGGGGGGGGGATGGGAATACCTCAGAGACCATTTGACGCAGGATATTACAACATGAGATTTGCCAATCCCCTCTAAGACTTCCCGAGACCTCGGAGACATCCACGAGTGCAAGCCGGCATGCAGACTCGACCACTTCCATTGGATGATTTTTCATTCCGATACAGACGCGGGTGCGAAACTTGCTTCGGGAAGACCCTTCTCGATCCGGCTGGAACGAACGGTCGAACCGAAAACCGTTTCGTCGTCACAATTATACCGATTGCATATTTTTTATCGTTAATGGGACTAAACATGTTGTTGAAAGTGGATTATTTCACAGAGGGCACGGAGGACAGAGAGGACAGATGAAGCCTTAAACCAGGGCTTCGCTACCCCTGATCATTGGTCATATTTGGGGTCGCGAACCGGCAACTAAATGCCAAGTTATAATTTTCTTCGCAATTTTAATGCATAGGTGGGGGGACCCTGTCGAAATTCGTCCAGTGCTTGGGATCCTGCATGGTGTTATCGTAGTTTTTGGGGTCGCGTGTGAAAAAAGGTTGAGAAGCCCTGCCTTAGACGGAGCTTAGCACCCTTCCTAAGCGCTTTTTTTCCCCCTCCCTTAAAATCCTTCCGACGAATGTTGTCTTCTCTCCTCCTCCAGATTAATTTTCTTGAGACGCACGAGAAATGAGAACCGATTTAGAAGGTGCCAAGAATTCAAGAAAAATTTGTTGGAAATTCTCATGGCGTTATGTTTCAAAATCTTTCAGCTTTATTTTCCCCTTTTTGTTTCCCCTCTGACGAGAGAATGCTGCGAAATTTGCCTTAAATTCTATCTAGTTCACCTACTCAACTCCGAAGCAGAAATTCACCTTAGTGCAATAATAGAAAATAATTCTGGAGAGCAATGAAAGTGAATGGGTAATCCCTTACGAAAATGCCTTATAGGAAAATGCCTCATAGAAACATAT